CTGCGGATGTTTTTCTCAGTCGGCACCCTAGTACTGCACCACAAGTCAAGACGGGGGATAGTGAGTTGTCTTGTTGGTGCTCTTCTTTGCTTGGCCGAATAAGGCGAGTTTCATATTCACCGTATTCAGTTTCCATGTACATACGCGCAAGCTCCGTATGCTTGAATACTTGCATCAGAGAAATAATCAGTATAGGTTCACCAGCATTCTCCGGTTTCAGACACCGAGCAAATGTTGTTTCCTTTAACTTGTATATTCTTTGAAAAACTGTTTCCATGCTTGTTTGCAACCATCTGGTATTGGATCATCCCATCTTATTGACGTTGCTTCCGTGCGACCTTCAGTAGGTTGTGACACCAGATTTCTCAGTAAGATCTTAGCAGATAGAGTTACCGGTGTTATGAACCCGAAAGGGTCATAAATGCGCGCTGCTTGGCTAAGAACCATTCGCCTTGTAAGAATTTCTGGAAATTCCTTATCAAAGCTTTCTTCGGTCAAATCTGGTCCTGTTGGAATTTTGTTGCGTTTCGGAGAAAAATTTATTTTGACTTGAAAAGCAAAATAATCATCCTTTGGAAGCCAACGCATTCCTAATATCTTTTCTTCATGAACGGTTACCATCTTGACACTTGAAGTTGACGCTAGGCTGTCATCACCGGACATGATCCAGTGCTTTATGTTGAAACCACCTTTCTTCAATATGCTTTGCACATTTTCGGCCAAACTAAAAGCATCTTTCTCCTGAGGGACTGACTGAATCAAATCGTCAACATAACTATTTCTTATTATCATATCAGCGGCTCTTTCGTGTGTGTTCCTGTTCAGTTCCGCAATTGTTTTCAATGCTACCATTGATATCGTCCCGCTTGGTCTGTCGCCGAAGGTAACGGCTAATAAAATGTAATGAGACGGCTCTCGACTGCAATCCATATCTCGCCACAAGAAGCGATGCACGTGTTGATCCATTTCAGCTAATCGAATGGAATTGAACATCTTGCTAATGTCCGCTACCAAACCAATGCGCTCTTCCCTGAATCGCAGTAATATGCCAAACAGATTGTTGATAAAATCCGGACCTTTTGCCCAGTAGTCGTTTAAAACGTGGCCCATGAATGATGCCGATGAATTAAAAACAATGCGCAGTGGAGTCGATGAAGAATCTGGTTTGATCACTTCATGATGTTGTAAGTAATGTACGGGACCCGTAAAATTTGCTATCTCTTCATCTGATAATTTTCGAGCTATTCCTCGTGTAATCATATCTTCCATTTGCTTGGCATAATCATTGGCATGTTCTTCTCCCATTTTGCTTAGTCTTCTTTCGGTAGCTTTCAATCTCGCGTATGTAGCTGTGAAATTGTTAGGAAGTTGCATTGGATCTTTTATCCACGGATAGTGAGCAATGAATTTTCTTTGATCTTGATCATATGTCAGGCCTTTCTTGATAAGTAATAGTTCTCTTTCTTCCTGTAAACTGTAATTTCCGTTGCCCGTGGCGCATTTTCCACACTTACATCCGCCACACCTGGGTGTGCAGCATGTCCCGAGATTTTCTACTGTGAAGTACTCATCTAATTTCTTCTTCAAAGTGGTGATTGAGTCAATACGGATATTATTGACATCGCAAAAATTCATGACAGTGTTGGATTCATCATTATTCATGTCAGATGACGTGTTTCCTGCATCAGAGTGGACGCAACCACGTATACAAAACCCAAATTGGTTTCTTAGTAACTGGATATTTTCTATCGTTTTGACAACTTCTGGTAGAAGGACGCAGCAATCCGTCCCAACAAGCATATCAACTTTACCGTGTGGTCTTTGGATGTCATCTGGTCGAATATGAAACATGTTTGCAATATTGGTCATGTCGATTTCCTGTAATTCTGCTGTAATCTCTTCTATTCCATATGCATGGATTTTCCAACATTTTCCGTCTTCGTCATATAGAGGAACGACGTATCGTTTAGTGGTCAATGCCTGAGATTGATTGCCAATTTTCGTGATCGATAATTCAACCTCTATACCATTGAGATTTAATGTAGCTGCAGTTTTCCGATCGATAAGTGACACATTCGCTCCGGAATCCCATAACACCGCAATTTTTCTCTCGTTGCATATGACATGGCTAACTGCAAGTAATGGCTCTTGTGTTTTCCTTCTAGCCATGTGAATCGCATTGTGATTTGTGGAATCATTGGCTGGAGCTCTGTCAAGATGCAGATAGGGATGATGGCGCTTGCCGCATTTTTGTCGCAGATGATTTAGTTTGTCACATTGATTGACAAAAGGACATGCCATGGCTATATGTCCTTGCTTCAAACAATTAAAACACACTCCATTTTGTTTTAGACTGCAAAGTTTCTCTTCATGACTTGATTTTAAAAATGCGTTACACTTATAAATTGGATGTGCGTCTGTCTTGTGTATCCAACAAATCTTGTTGTCGGTACTGGAGAGTTGTTTCTTTTGATTGGGTTCGTTGTTTCGTTTCGTTCGATCGTTAAATAAATGTTCAATGCGTTCGGTCATGTTTTGAACTTGATTACATAGTTGAATCATGTTGTTCTGAGAATCGTTCGTTTTCATTTCGTTTGGTTCCTTGGAATCGTCGTTCGTTTCGCTGTTCCGCTTCGCAGTATCGACTTCAACGTTATGCACTGTTTTGCTAGTGAATTTCGATTTAGAAGCGGTTGGATTTCGTACGTCATTTTCCATATATTCTATTACCCTTTTTTCTTGAAGTAAATATGATAAAAGTTTTAGAAATATCGAACCGCCTGGTGCATCTAAATGTTCTCGCCGGTCCAGTAATGTGACCCATTCCCGTTTCTGCGTCATCGGAAGTAGCCTTTCTATCATCGTTACCATTGTTGTTGTGTCCATCTCATTTCCCATTCCCATTCTGTTCAGCTCCAACCAGTTCTTCTCTACTATATCCACCATGTGAATAAATTTAACGTGGTCTCCTTCAGCGATAGGTCTTAACACTTTAATTTCGTGTATGATTGAATCAACTAATTTTCGTGGCTCCCCGTACTTCGCGTCGAGTCGCCGAAACATTTCGTCAAAATCGTCTTCTACTCCTCTGATCGTCTCCAATGCGTCGTCCGTTAAACATTGTCGTAAGGCATACGCGTCTTTTCCAAACTGTTTTTTCATTAGCCTATCAAAATCTTGCTTGAAACTGGAATATTGCCGGATATTGCCAGAGAACTGCGGCGCATTTAGAGGTTTGACTCTTATTTCTGAAATTTTAGCATGTTCCTTTTGATTTTTAGTTGCAAATTGCATTCTGACTTCATCCATGTTTGCTTCAATATCAGTCATATATTCGTCACTTTCTTCCAATAATTTATCAATCAAATGATGTGGCCCAGTTTCATTAATTGCAGCGTTGACAAAGTCGTTACACTTTTCGAGTTGGCGGTACGAGTCCTTTATGTCTTCAAATTTTTCTTGGATCGCCATTAGTGGACCATCCTTTTCAATCATGTCGCGGAAGCCCAACATTTTCCTAGTAAACTTCCTTTTTGCGTTTCCTCGTTCTTGTTTCGCTTTTCGTATGTCCTTCGTTGTATCCGATGATCGTGGTTCCTCCTCTTCCTTCTTGTTCATTTTTGGTAATTTCAGGTTACTTTACTCAAATTACGCTATTCTTAATCAAGGTTTGTTTAAGTTTCAAAGAAGTCGTTATGACTATGAAGATGAAATGTAATATTCGTGTATAAACTCAATAAAACTGCAATGTGATGTAGAATTTGTATCAACACAAAGTAAGAAACAGAACAAATTTTCTTCGGATCAAAGTTCTTGCTATGTAACAAATTTCATCCTGAAACAAGGCGATACATTGATCAGCACAAATAATGGAAATTAATATAGCCAGAAAATTTAAATGACACATATTCACCAAAATAATCATTACTTCATTGCAGCCAAAATTCAAAATATGTGGACCAAGAAGTCACGACAAATCTTGCGTAAAAATTCAAACATGATATTCTCGTGCGATCCTCTTCATTCGCTTTTCGCTATTGCAGTTCTTGCAATACTGCAATACAGGTTTAGATTCATTTTATTTAAATACATGATCATGAGAATTTACGCTGGTAGCTGACACTTAGTACTTTGCGTTCTTATTACGATTTAACGTCTTGTAACATTAGCTGTCAAGGCATTCTCCTTAGCTTCCGTGGTTGATATTTCCATTCTCTTTCGGTACCCGGTCGAAACGGAAATAAATCCATACCATATTTTTGAATAATGAATCTTTGCTAAGCATGGCATGGCTCTCTTTGAGTCCGCAGTAAGCAGCTTTTTGTTCAGGATCAGCTTCATTATCTAATGTGTCGTTTTATGGCTGGTTTTTAGCATGCCTCAGGTGTCTGATGCCCAACATGCGTTTAATGCCCAGGAGCATTGAGATACACTGAGACCACGCGGCAGAGCTACAGCCGAAGGGCTAACCCTCTGGATTATGTTTGCTAATGTGTTGCCATGGAGCTTATGGTTGCCGTCTTTACGGATGCTCTCGTGGAAGACGTTAATATGTTTGAAAAATTCTTAGAATAAATGATTTCATGGTAATAGTTCATACTGACTTCTGCAACTATGAGAACTTCAAGCCGTAAAGCTATCAGCAAAATTTATTTCTATTCTTCTCGGGCCTAATCTGGCCGCTCTACTCCGAGCTCCGGGCCCGTTCCGGCAGCTCTACTCCAGGGGTGCGTTGCGCCGTTCCCAAACTGTTGGCTTTATCGACTGACTAACGAATAGCACCAACGCGAACCACCGGCGTCAGCTGATCGGCCGTGTGATGACGTCATTGGCCCGCCGGTGACGTCACTAGTCAGCTGATTGGCAGTGGCTGTTTATGTCAACGGTGGCAGGGCTGTTGGCGGACCGATTTAGTTTGGCGACTTTTCAGCGCTACCGTAGGCGGAAATCGGCGAGAGAGAGAGAGAAAGAGAGAGAGAGAGAGAGAGAGAGAGAGAGAGAGAGAGAGAGAGAGAGAGAGAGGAGAGAGGTCTCCAACCACTCCTCTCTCTCTATCTATCTATATATCTATCTATCTATCTATCTATCTATCTATCTATCTATCTATCTATCTATTTATCTATCTCTCCCTCCTTTCCTTCCTTTCATCAGTTGGCCTCTTCCAAGTGTCAGCGGGTTGTTGTCGAACTTGAAACTATAACAGCTGACATTCAACTTCCTTGACTGAGATGCTGGCGTCTCAAAGCATCCTCGTTCAATTATGATGTACAAGATTTGTTGTGGATTTGTGAATTTATATTTTGTATCGGATGTTTTTGGCCGCTATCTGCGTCGTTTGTTTTCTCCGCTGGACAGGTATTGCGTCGCAGTGAGATAGATTCCTTCACTACGTGGAAAATGCCCCAATAAGGAACTTTTAGAGGTACTAGATCAAAGCAGTTGCTTTGCAATGCGCGGAGGAACGTGGGAAGTACTGTTTGCATTGCTGATGAGTTCGTGGAACTGGGGTATAGGCTACGCTCAACAAGCATTGCTTCCCACCTCGACCGAGAATTCTTCATTCTGGAGGCCAGCTAAAAGTAGAGTCGCATGTTATTAGATTTGGGATTCGAGATCGAGCCTTTTCCTGCCGGAATTTGTTTCATCTTATGCAAATACGACATTTCATTTTCTAGGCTCGCGAAATCAAATAATGAAATCTGCTTTATAAATTTCACGAGAATAGCGGAGGCACGTGACGAAACCTGTGGAGCTATCACGAAAGGCCGACGGTGGTGTGTTGGAGCTACATAAACACGGTCCAAATACCAGCCGTGCTGATGGGACTCTCAACTGCCGGGGTCTGCCAGTTGCCAGACGTCCTGTCTAGCTCTGGTGTGGATTTACAGGCGTTAGTCATGCGGTTATCAGAGAGGGGGTGAGGGGGCTTTATTTGCGAAGCTGGGTGGGTTGTGTTCCAGGTTAGAAGGCGGCAGTGTGCGATTTTCTGTAAACTATGTGTTCAATTATTCACCTTGCTCTGACTTGTCGCTTTTTACGGGTTCATGTTGACTGTGTGTTGCGCTAGCAGTCATGTCACGAACTGCTCACTGCTTGGGCATCCGTCCCGATGGTTTTGATGAGGTCAAATATAGAGGGCACCACGGGATGCCTTTTGATACGATATCTATTCCTAGCCTCATATCCTGGTCCAGGTCCGACTCCCGGGCTATTTATAGACCCGTCCTTATATAACGTCTGCGCTGGTCAGTTGCAGCGAGATTGATCCGTGGAGCGAGCATGCTCCAGTGCACTCCTCGCGGCTCCTTAGGCGGCGTGGTGGGGATAATGATGGCTTATTTACGATAATTTTCACCTATGATTAGATGCGAACGCTCCATTTGAGCGTGAACGACCCATATCCACATTCTCACATGTGTGCACTGTGCAGTTCTAAGTTTAGGCGTGCTTTAAATCCGGAACGCTTTTAGGTGGGTTTTTGTTTGTTCTGAAAACAGCGTCACGTTCCTCTTGATTGGTCACATCCCCGCATTTCTTAGTTCAAGACAAATGTCCGCTGCTGACAAGTGGTTGGCTGCCCTCCAGCGCTTCTAAAGCTCAATCTGCCATCAAATGTGGACATGAGAAATATTGACTCGACTCTGATGTTTATGTTAGGGTATCAAGAAGTTCCGCCTGAACTGAGACTGAAATGCATGCTAATCCTGGCTCGTCATTTTAATTCAACTGTGCTATTTTTTGTAGCTGCTTGTGTGAGCAACTGCATTTTTTTCTTAAGACAAAGAATGAAGTTTGAAATGCTTACAAAAGAAAAAATTAAAATAACATCAAGTGATGTAGAGGAACGTAATAGTCCTACTTTATCGCTCACAGGTGCGCATCTTCCCCCAAGATTTCCCCAACCCTTGCCCTTCCATTCCCCAAGGAATAACCGTGTCCGCCCTCGATCGAAGTTCGCCGGGTCGACGCGAAAGGTCACCACCCCCGCCGGCCTACCTGACCCGAAACACCCGCCATCGGACGGAATCTGTAAGAGATGATTGCGAAATTCCGTCCAGGGAAGTCGCGTTGAAGAGATGCTGCTCGGCGGCGGTGGTGTTTGGTAGTGTCGAATGGAATGACCCGGAAATTGGTGCGGGGTTGGCTGTCTCAGGAGAGAGGGAGAGGGTTAAAGGAGAGAGGTGGGAGGTATAAGGCTCTAGTCGTGTGGCGATGGCAGGAGGAAGGTACGGATAAATGAAACATAGGGAGTGTCTGGTATAACCTTCGTTGCTGCCTACTGGTTGTTTTGCTCATGTCCCTCTTTGACCAAACCGCACATTGTAAACAATGTGTGGCTCGTTCTTGCGTCCTCTCTATAGTCTGGCAAACCTAAGAAAGAACGGAGTTAAAGCGTCTGAATCACTTTGCACGTGTTTTGACCACTTGAACTGTATGGTTCGGAAAATGTGTGCGAAAAGTTGTGACAAATTATGCCCTCATGGTATAAATGCACATGTATCAACGGCCGCAGCACTTTAAATCCATTCTTTCTTAGGTTTGCCAGACTATAGTTATGAATTTCACGTTATGTCACAGTTTTCCGTGATACTCTGTCACTCACGTTTCTTTTTTCTGTCTGTTTTCAGGTGTGATCCTGTATATTCTGCTGGTGGGCTACCCGCCTTTCTGGGACGAGGATCAGCACCGGCTTTATGCGCAGATCAAGTCCGGCGCATACGACGTAAGCTGGGGAAATCCCGCGGGAATATGAGTACATTTGTATGAATTTGCTGGAGACTAAAGACTGGGAGGGCTACTGCCTCTGGGAGGCTGGACAGTAGATAAATCCATGGAAAACATTCACAATGATCGGTGGCTAATGGTGATGAATGTTGTTATGAAACTGGAAAAAAAAACTAACGGCAATTTGTATGTGGAGCTCTGGGCGCAAAATGACCTTGTAGTCAGCGCACTTTTAAACTCCTATAAACAAGAAATGTGAAGCTATTGGGCCAATCTCCCTCTCTTTCTTTTCGATTCACTTTCTTGCTATCTATATCGCTCTCCTCCGGCATTTCCCTTCTCTCTGTTCTTCCGCTGCCATCTTCCCTCTGCTCTCTTTCCTCTATCCCCTCCCTCTCGCAGTGTCGGTCAGTCGCAGTTTTAGTCAGTTTCCCAGTTTTCCCGCCGACTTGGTCCAACTAACGAGGCTATTTCTGGCAGAACTAATCGGAGCCCTGAATAAATTTCGTCTCCGATAACGCGGAAGAATCGACGACTTGGTCCGGTGGCTAATGCTGCTCGCTGGAGCCTGATATATTGGACTCGGCCAGAAAATATGGCGACATGGGCTGTCTTTGTGTGGGACTACTTTGGGTGAATGAGGTCCTAAATTTTTGGTTGAACGCTAATGCTAGTCATCGGCAACGGAAAATGATGAAATTCATTCGCTCTTTCACCTGTTGAATTCGGATTGCCTTCGTAGCTTGAGTTGAGTTTTTATGTCGTTTGCTTTCATTTTCTTAAAGCAAACGTCATAAAAAGAGGACCCTTCCACTGTCTATTTTGTTACAAGTTGTGAATAACAGCAAGCTGTCATGATCACCACTCAACAGCGTGTTGAAAAAAAAAACTGTACATAGTGTGCATCAGTTATGCTAATGCCACAGAGTCAGTAGCCGCGTTTGCTTAGGGTTTGTTGCAGGGATGCGGAGCCGGAGCCGGAGTCGGAGCCGGAGCCGCCGGAGCCGGCATATTTTGCCCGGAGCCGGAGCCGGAGCCGGAGCCGTGAAACAATATAGCCCGGAGCCGGAGCCGGAGCCGGAGCCGCCAAAAAAGGGGGCGACTCCGGCTCCTTTTTATTTTTTGAAGAGGAAAAAAAAATAATTGACCTAGTTCGGTTTGACAGTACAAGGCAGTAAAACATATGGTACTTAGGTACGTCATGGGCCATCAAGTGAATGAAAAAATCCGAATATCCCCAGTATCCCACAGTACGCAAACAACTTCCTGTTTGCTCTTCCCC